CCATCCACTGTTCCTCTTTGCTTGAACTTAAAGCTGACTGGTCTCTCACATGTTGTATACCTCTCGGCCTACTAAAGCCAAGATGCCGATAGGTAGCTGATAGATCTCCAGTAATAAGACCGAACTTCAAGGGCTGCTCTTTTAAGTGATGTGCAACTGAGGTCTGTTCAGCAGATAAGAGAACAATACAACCCGGTAAAACACATGCAGACTCCTCTGGTAAACCAGGGAGCACACAAGTCAGCACTTTAGTGATGTCAAAGGCAGAACAGCTGATATCTGGATTATTTGTTGACTGCATCCAGCTGGCTTTGGTAACTAAATTCATTGCATCGACACAACCGTGGCTCAATCCCTCAGCAATGTGTGCAATGTCAGGATGTGTAGGCTGAGGAGGTGGTGGTAATGTGGAGACATTTTCAGACTTGGCCTCACAAAAATGTCTGCTGAACTTTACTTTTCTCTGTCCACTGGTGTTTAGAGTCCTTTTTCCAACTTCTGTTGTGCCCTGCAGGTGGGATGATGATTGTGAAGACTCCATGATTGGTTTCTTTGACAGGTGAAGTCCAAAACCATTAGATGCAGCAGTGCAGCGCTCTGTCTGAGCAACACCAAGACCCTCAGCTGAAATGCTACATTTCTTGCAAACACCCAAGCATACATCCATGCCTTCAGACATAGCCGAGATTATGTCTGACTCTGAAATTCCTCTCTGAAGGCACTCCAGAGCAGCACAGCTCCATGCTCCTGAAAAAAAGAGCAGACATCCTGTACCTGTGTGAAAGACCTTCTGATGGGCTTGGAGAGTCTCATAAACCAGCTGACCCGTGGCACAAGTCAGCTCCAGGTTCTCAAAGACCCGAAAACACGAGCACACAAGAGCTGACTCTCCACTCGTGTCATCTTGGATAAACTTGTACTTTTTACTGGGGCCCAAAAAGGAATGTGTGATTCCTGCCAGGGCTGAGAGCTTCTGCAGTCCAACATGCTGTCGATGATTTATTACTGTACTTCCCAGCATAACTTGAAATGCCTGATTTGTAAAAGGAGAAAGGCTTTAGGTTAGCTCACCTTTTTCCAAGTAATAGTCCTACAATTATTCTATTTTCATAACTTTCATCATAACTTCTTAGAGTCCAAGGTAACATTGTCAAATATCTTCTTTCACTTGGCCAAAACCCAAAGGTATTCAGTTCACTGTGACAAACAAAAGTGTTAAATCCTCTCATCTGAGAAGCTGGAACCTGAGAAATTGGATTTCTTTCTACTTTTGCTTCATAAATGGCTGAAAAGATTAACTGATTATCAGACTATTATTTTTCTGCCAACCAACTACTGACTTATTCACTGTAACTTCCAATCTGTACTTCTTTTTCATTTCATCTCAGAGGGCAACAATGTACTTTTTTTACTCCATTATATTTATCTGACAGCTATACATTACCCTGTAAACTCTGATACATAGAAATATGTGATCAGCTTATAACCCATAATTGAACTTAGTTAAAAGCAGCCTGGCTGTAACATTTAAAAGTTGCTTATACATTAAGACAAAAATAATAGAACAATATACTATACATATAAAATTTAACCTAATATTTATGAGTTTTTACTCAAGTAATTTTTTGAATGCAAGACTGCAACTGAGGCTGTATGTTAACATTTGGTTATCCATGGGACAATGGCATATTTTGTTGATTTTATAAGTAACCTCTGCAGCAAATATACATTAACATTATTTCATGAGCATGAACTTAAAAAGTATTTAAAAATTAACTGTTTCATGTGCAAAATCTTGGGGAGCATGCTAAATCTGTATTTAGTAACCCCCTCTTTGGCAGACATCACAGCTTGCAAATACTTGTAGCTAAGACAGTCTATTCCTGATTTAAGAATTTTCATCCACTCGTCCTGCAGATCTCTTCACCTTCTGAGATATTTCTGGGCTCAAATATCTACACACTGATCTTCATTGATGTTCAGGCCAGGGGACTGTTTGAGGTCTGCTTTGGAACAGTGTCCTGCTGTAGAACCCAGCCTCTTTTCAGTTTCACTTTCTTGACTGAGGGCAGGATGTTTTCGCTGCTTAGTGGACTCCATCTGTGCATGTTACCTGTACCTCTGGTTGCAACACAACCACAAAGCAGAGCCTTACCACCCCCATTCTTAGCAGCTGGTAAAGGAAAGGATAACAGTGACTAAGTACTAATTTAGGATGCCCACATTTTGGCACGTCATAATTAACTTAATTTCTTCCTATTTCTTGAATTAAATAAAAAGTAACCATGAATAAACATTTGAAGAAAGGTAATTTTTTAATGCCTGTTGCTAAATAGGGTATTAAACTATTGCAACTTCATAGTAGTTGCAACTGACACAAACGCCACAGGATAAAATAACCAAGTTACACTGAGTGTTCAATAGAGATGGAATTAGCCTTTAGGGTACACAGCACAATCTGCGGCTTGCAAGCTAACAAGGTAGTTTAAGAAAATTCATTTACCTCTAAATTCAGCCTGCCTGTAAGGAAGCAAATGTGAAGTAAACCGCAGGAGTGTCTCCTAACGATGCGCCTCAAACACACACACTTTATCTACCTGTAAAGACTATAACGTTACCTTAATATAATTATGTGTACTACTTATACTGTGTACCCCTGTCCAGCTGCCACGACCGAAGGAGTAAGCAATGCGCATGCGTAGTGTTGCCTGGTTGCTGGGAGACAAGAACCTATTTCAACGATTGGCGGATCCTCTTATGTCCCACCCATTTCACTTTGCGACTGGTGAATATCTTTGCGTCACGGACGTTCATGGTCTCTATTGGCTTTCTCCCTTGTCAGTTACCAGTAACAAAAACTACCGTTGCTGTCTCTTTTGTTGACATCCGATCATTACACACACCGTTGAAGCTTTCCTGGTTGAATCGTTAATTCAAATGGTATACCTTCATATAAATTTCTAGTAAGCAATGTAAGCTGAATTACCCTAATAGGAAATTGCAGGGTTTGCCGAGTATATATCAGCCTGAAAAGGTGTTTTGTTTGGTCTCGTGGGGCAGCATGGAAGCTAAGTATAGCTAGCAAGATAGCAACAGTTGACAAAAACGTAAAAATATAGCACGTGAGTGTATCTGCTGCAGTTGATATCTAAGTAGATTGTATACAGTAACAACCTAGTTTTAATGTCTGCTTTTCAGGCTTCAAGTTACAGGAAACCATCTTCTTCGACTAGCCAAAGGAAAAAGGCAGGTGTCAAAATCGAACTGACTGAGGAGCAAAAGCAAGAAATTAAGGAGGCTTTTGATCTCTTTGACACAGATTGCAGTGGAACTATAGACGTGAAGGAGCTAAAGGTTAGTTCCTGTTTTAATGTACCATGTATCAAATGTTAAAACCAGTACCCTGACAGCAGTGCTGCAGCAGCCTCCAATTTGTTGTGTACCTGTGCCACAGGTTGCCATGAGGGCTCTGGGGTTTGAACCAAAAAAAGAAGAGATCAAGAAGATGATTGCAGACATTGATAAAGAGGGCTCAGGGACAATTGATTTCAGTGACTTTCTCAGTATGATGACTCTGAAAATGGTAAGTGTTTGGAAACTTCTCAGAAGTTGAAAATAGTTATTTCCAACCCAGACAGTATTAAATTCTTCATAAAATTGTGCTTAAGCAATCACATTTAGCAGTTAGTTGCTCTTGAAATAACAGTATCCAAAAAGTACATTTCTTATCTTTCATCATGAAATGTTTGACATAGTGCCCAAGAGGCCCATGGACAATCCACAACCTATTTTGAATCTGAAAGCAACAACAAGTCAAATTTTAGCATACCCCTACCGTGCTAATGCCCCTACCACACTGATCATACATTTGTACGCATCATATACTCATTACAACTGCTCCAAAAAATTCATTTCATAATGTGTGATATATGGAAATGAACCCTCTTCTCAGTTGATTTTGCAAATTTCAAACAAGGAGCAGTGTTTGTCTATGCTTTGTTAATATAATGTGTCAGTCATTACAGTATGCATTTGTCACGTCTTGCTTCATTGTCAACAGGGTGAAAAGGACTCCAAAGAAGAGATAATGAAGGCTTTCCGGCTGTTTGATGATGACTGCACAGGAAAAATCTCATTCAAAAATCTCAAGAGAGTTGCCAAGGAGCTGGGCGAGAACCTCACAGATGAAGAATTACAGGTACTATGGTTTCTAAAGGCATGCAGTGTATTTGGGGACTGACTGGTGCATTTGTGGATCAACATGTGAATGAACTGCTGTTTTGCAGTTTTCTCTGAGTTTGGAATCTACTGTATAACCTCAGTGACATCTTTCCATTTGAAGTTTTTTTTTTTTTTTTTTTGAATAAAGCACACTGGAAGGAAGGGTTATTTTCTTCAAACAGTTTTTATGTTTGGTGACAGAGGGAAGTTTCAGTGTTTGAGTAACATGATAGTTTCAGATACTGTGGCTTTGGCATAGATTGTACTGTGCACAAGTATGTTTAATTTTAAGTGCACTCCTTGTATAGAATATGGCACATTATGCTACAGTGATAAAGCACCGCTCTGTGACACTATGCAACCATTCATATCATTTTAATTATAGCAGAATACTTTGCTGCAATTAGTTTTCAAGATACTATAGAGAGAAATAATATTATTTCAATGAAAATGTACAATTTAAGCACTAATAATACAACTGACTTCTCACCACTGTTACTAGTACATGTATAATCAAATTGCAGACGAGTGATGGACCTATTTCTGTTTCCTTTTCTCCTAATTCCCCTAATGTTGTTACCTTCATATGTGATATTAAGAAATTACATTGCTGCTTCAGGGTGGTTATTTCTTAAGAACTTTGTAAACTAAGTTAACCCAGGAGTTTCTCTGTTCTGGCAAGTATATTTTTGTTTGTGTGTGTGTGTTGAATTCAGTTGTAACTGTTTGTGATGCATCACACTGTGTTTCTAACCCTTTTAGGAAATGATTGACGAGGCAGACCGAGATGGAGATGGAGAGGTCAGCGAGCAGGAGTTCTTACGCATAATGAAGAAGACCAATCTTTATTGATGAGTGTTCGTTTTGTTTCTAATATTTGCTTTTGATTCTGTTAGAATAGCAACTTAGGCACATTTGTTTCATTTGTAAATAAATATTTTAACATTCTATATCTTTGCACAAAGTTTTCTACAATGCAAGACAAATAAATCTATTTCATCATAGTGGGATATGTCTGTGGTTACTTTTACATTAACCCTACAGTCTCTTGGTGTCTGTGTAACATATACAGCATCAAATTGCAGGGGTTTAACATTTCACCGGATCTGATGTGCACATAAGAAATGTTCCCCTCACAATAGCAATGTTTTACATTGTTACTTTATCCGGACCCTGAGTAGTCGATAAGCAGAACAAAAAATAGGCTGAGGTTTTGAAATCTTTGAAGTCAATTTCAGTATGCTGCAGTGCACCCTGCAAAGCACAACATGCCAACAATGGTCAGATGTTGGGAAGCAGACAGTGAAAGTCATATGACTAAGTCAATGTCTACAAATCAGACTTGTCTTACTGTAGACAGAAATGACAAGCGTGAACTTGAGATGAGTAACTCAGTAAAAATCACTCTCACTTCATGTTTTGAGTTACTGAACCAAGTCACTGTCTAGAGAAAATGTACTACAGCAGTCTAACCTACACATTTTCATCATCTTATAGGAAAAGATACTCCTGCTGATTAAGTATAATATACAGCGGAAGTCTGGTTTTGGCCAAAACACCATACCTTGTTTAAATAAACAGGATATTGTAGTGACGTGTTTTTCCGAGCCGTCAAGCTGCCGATTATTTTGGGGATGCTTGCCACTGATTGTGAAAGTTCTGATAACCTGTTGCAGACAGCAAAGAAGCAGGTGGAAAATATGAAAGGTTTCGTCCCAAGATGAGATATCCTTTTTTTTTTTTTTGCTAAATATTCCAT